AGGAAATAATGACTCTGTGGACGCACACCCCTACCCTGCTACTTGCCTGGGACATGCTGACAGACACCAGGCAGCAAGGTCTGACATTGCAGAAGGCCTGTGATTGACGAATCAAAAACCTGCTTCAGCTCAATTCAGCTCTGTTCAGGAAAGTTGTCACAGATGACCAAATGGCCCTTGCGTTGTAGAAAGCACCACACAATGGAAGAGACCCCAGGTCAAGAGCAAACTACTTTTTTTTTGTAGCCAACACACATAGAGTTTCATTGTTCTTCACTAAGTTGAAAAAAGAATAAATGTACTGTTTCATACAGGCTATCCAGACTCAATTTTAGAGGTAGGAAGCCTTTAGAAATTATAGTCTTCTACTTTATAGATGAGAAAGCTATGGTCCAAAAAGTTTCTTCCACTAAATATATTTTGAATACTTGTTGTGAGATATTACCTAGATGAAATTATATGTCTCCTCAAGCCAGGACAACAGTACTTATCACATTCATTTTTTTAAACCATTCTTAATGAGTAAACAAATGAATGAATTCTTGTTAAAGATCACAAATTAGTAACTGGAGGACCTAGAATGAGAACTCCTAACTTCCCACTACGTACTCCTGGGTTTCACACTTATGAAAACAGGTAGGAACTCAAGCAGGTGTCTTCGATCAGCTCCCAAATGATTGATTTAAGCCTCTCCAGGGAAAATGAATGCAGTACTCTGGCACCAGCACATAAAGGATGTTCAGTTTTCCCAGTGTCTCCGGATCAGTCCCTTCCTGGCGATGATAACGACCTTACAAATGACTTATGTGAAGGACCTGTACCTCTATTAACCCCTAAACAGCTCTGCCTTCATTGCCTCTTTGTTTCAGAGTCAAGGTATACAATGGCCTTGGAACCAGAATTTTACCAGACAGCCAGTAGGGACCAGTGTACAATAGATCGAATGAAGAAGTCTCTCAACTCCTCTTGAGGGACAAGAAGGAGAAACAAAGTGTCATTTCTCAGAGGTATTCTGGCCCATGAGATCCTAAGAGTCTCAATTCCATTTCTAACCAAATTTCCTTTCTGGATCTAGATAGTAGTGTATTTGCCAATTGTGAAAAACCAGTTGCTATGTAGGCCTTTCAGACACCATTCAGCCTTTCTCCATCCAATTCCTCATCTGAAATTTAAAACACAATAAATTACTTGATTGACTCTTCTCAGTGCTCTCAAGAGTGGTACATAACCTGGACCACCCTTCAGTCTTGGGAAAATGGGTAACCCGTTACCTACAGTGGGTGCCGTAGGGCAGTAGGGTTTGACTCTCTCAGGAAACCCCGCATGTGTTACGCAGTGATCTACTACACCCCCAAGTCCTGAACACATCACAGTTCTTACCATGCCTGCACTTGTGCACACCTGCATGCCCTCTAAAGAGTCCTCTTTCCATGAGCTCTTAAAAGTGAATGGACATTATCTCTGAAATTTTGTCAAAGGCAAAAATTCATTTATATTTATGTGATACAAAGGTATTATTCTTCTCTATTTGAGAAACATAACAGGGAGATCAGTAAATCTTTTGCAGATATGCAAATTGAAACTCAGACAAAAATAGACTGCTGATATGTTTGTAATGAAGAATATCAAGTGTTTTTGCAGATAGTTTCTCTGAAATATTCAAGAAGTGATCTACTTTGTAAATCATCAATGAATAGTTCCAGAGTATCGCCTTCTTCAAGGGCCTGGGAAGACACAGCAAAGAAAACACACTTTGCGTATTTGCCAAAAATTGCTCATTTTTTGCCTTTACTTACACTGCTTGATTTAAATCCCTTGTGTAAAACAAAGGTCAGTGATTTGTCTTCTATCATTTCCTTTTGGTCACAAGTTTGCAATTAGAAAATCATTTTATAGTTGGTAAAATAAAACAGAACTTAAGAAGGAAATTACATGCCCTAGCTGGTGTGGCTCAGTGGGTTGAGTGCCGGCCTGTGAACCAAAGGGTCACTGGTTCGATTCCTAGTCAGGGAACATGCCTGGGTTGCAGGCTGGGTCCTTGGTGAGGGGCCCACAAGAGGCAACCACACATTAGTGTTTCTCTTCTTCCCTTTCTCCCTCCCTTCCCCTCTGTCTAAAAGTAAATTTTTTTAATTTTTTTTAAAAGAAGGAAATCACGTTTATAGATTGCCTGCTAGGAATTAGACATGGTTTTAGGTGCTTTAAACATATAATCTCATCTAAGGTAAGTGGTTTTACTCTTTTCCTTCCAGAGATTAAAAAAATGAGATGCAGATTCAAACAGCCAATGGAAGAACTGGGTTTCAAACACTCTGTGGCTCATACATTCAGAATTGTTTAGCGCATCTTCCCGCAATGACTACTAGAAAGTAAATAAGGACATTTTCATTATTTTAGACTTACACCCCTTATTCAGCAGACAAAATTTCTGCCAAAGTGTAATCACCTTTAATTTCTCCTCCACATAAAGTCAAAAGAAGTGGGAACCACCAAGAGGAAGAAACTAAAATGCATGAGTGATACTGTAAACTTGATCTTCTTGCATGACTGATTCAAATGTACAGTATTCCCAAAGAACTTGTGCACCATGTTTCACCGGGAAAGGAGGTCAACATTCAGAAGACAGAAGCACCAACATCTGTAGAATCCTGTGGTGGAGGAAAAGATATATAGAACACAGTCTGATGATTTAATTATGTTCTTTTATTCTTAGATTGTGGTGAGAACATGAGCTTGGCCCAGAATTATATTCATGCCTTTCTTCATTTGAAAATGTCCTATTATCTGATGGTCTTAATAACTTAAGTTCCCAGAAATTAGAAACATGTCCTTGCGTCTCAGCTAGAACAAATGTCTGAATTTACTGTCATGAAGAGTTGAACCTCTAAAAAATCTACTCCCTTGGCCCCCGCCACCACCGCTGCTCACAGATTTGTTTGGGTCTTCCTCCTTGGCTGGAGCCTGCTGTTAGAAAAGGGAGAAGAGTAACTAAGGTATTTTTTCTTTTCTCCAAAAAGACAATGCAGAGGCACTTGAAGAATAAGAGAAGGCCTCTCTGCTAAGCCAAGAAAAGGGAGAAGAGTAACTAAGGTATTTTTTCTTTTCTCCAAAAAGACAATGCAGAGGCACTTGAAGAATAAGAGAAGGCCTCTCTGCTAAGCCACTTTCAACAAAGCATTAATATTTATTAACTTTCACTCTGATGTAGAATGAATGTTTTATGATAAAAAATGAGTAACAGCAAAATGGGAATTTCAGCCACAAGCAGCCCACTCTTCCAGTGATAAAGAGATCAGGATGGAGTTAGCCAACCCTTGTCTCTGTTTTGGAGGGCTCTATTCAGGACGCAGACAAAGAAGTAATAGGATACTGCTCCATGGAAACAATCATCAAAAAGTTCTGTGTTTCCTTTATCAACAAGAGCCAACACAAATGAAGCTATGAATTAATGCTGTATTAATGCTACATTAACAGACAGGACATATATTAAAAGAAATGAAGGATATTTCAAAAGTTCAGAATTACACATCTCAAATTTAGATGAAATCAACCCCCCAACAATTAAGAAAAGAGAAGGTTTGTTTTTTTCTTTTTTACAATTTAGAACAAAGCATGTCTGTCTCAGGTTGTCCTATTCATTCATTCGCTGTTTATTGAGCAGATTGTGATTGTCAGGCACAGACTGCGGAAATGTGGAGTTTCAAAATCAGCAACAAGGTCTAAAAAAAAAAAAATGACTTTCATGAGATCTCACTGTTGAAGACTGTCCTTCCTAAATTACTTTGTAATTCCTTTAACAAACTACTGGATCTTACTCTATACCTTTCCATGGTGAGTTATTACATACTGAAAATGAAAAATAGCATCTCACCTTTACAGGTAATGTACACACTGCACAATGGCCTAGAAATAAAAACCCAATAGCATTTATTTCTGTCCTGTCACTTCTGATGATTCAGTACAGGGATAACTGTAAAGACGCTGTTGGACAATGAGCTTATTCAATGTTCCTTTTCATAGTCTTGAGGGAAGTCCCTACCTAAGTACTTCAGGAGTAAAATGAAACATTGTTTCATTGTATGCAAGCCCCGTGGAAAGAGGAATAAGCATAGATTTGGGAATCAGACTGTCCTGGGTATGAATTCTGGTTCCATGCATAGTAAACTCTTGGAAAATGTACTTTACCTATTTCTTCATCTACGAAATAAATGTAACAGCCTCTTCCTTGTAAGATTGTTGCAATGAATATAGATAATGAATATAAAGCAACTAGCTCACAATGGGTTTTGCTTTCTTCTTACAACAAAAATCTGAAAGACCACACTAAGAATTGTTGTTTTAGGTAGTGTAATTCACCATGAAATTAAAATAACAAGAAAACAAGACAATAATGATCATTTTGAGCCTGATTCATATTCTTCTCATGAGGTAGTTATTTTACATTCAAGATTTCCCCTTATATAAGGTGTCTAATAAGAACCATGTAAATTTGAAATAACAGAATTTCAGATTATTGAATAAGCTTCACAGAAAAAATTCCGCCCTCCGGGTCCCCAGTCCCCACCCTTCTCCAGAATCATGATTGCTCTGCTGTGCTTACTAGAGTATGGACATGATAAAGGAGAGAAATAAAGAAACAAAATAACTAAATTTTTCAATTATTTTTAGTTCATCAGCAAATAACAGATTAACTTCAAAATGAAACAGTCATTCACATACCAACTTTTGAGTACAATGAAAGTACAAATTCTAGTTTGTGTATGTGTTTGGTAAATAAATAAACATAATCCTTTAAGCATGATCTTGCTTTGAATAGAACATTCACTATAAATCTTGCTTCTGCCCAAAGCAGTATTAGGGAGAAAAAGTACACTATACCCTCACTGTACCAGAGAATTGATTTCATTCCTTCATTTCCTCTTCTCTCTCTATTCAGTTCTCCTTTCACCATTTTTCCTTCATTTCTCTGACCCCTTCCTCTTTCCTTCACAATCACACAGGTTGTCCGGCCCTACCAGACCATGTCCAATCCCATGAGCAAGCTCACGGTCCTCAACAGCATGCATTCCCACTTCATTCTGGCAGACAACGGGACCACCGGGAAATACGGAGCAGAGGTGAAACTTAGGAGACAACTGGAAAAGCATATTTCACTCCAAAAGATAAACACAAGTAAGTAGCTGCTTTTCCTTCTGTCATGCCTCCTAGGGAATCTGTTGAAAATGAGTAACTTTAAGTGCACCATTCAGGAATATTTTGAAAACTCGAGCAGGTTTCCAACATGGGTCATTATGCCCATGGGCCAGTGGTTAGAATTAAAGGAAGTCTTCCAGAGCAAGACCACTGGAGACAGAAGAAGTGGTCCCACCCCTCATTCATGGGCTTCATCTCATTTATCATGCATGAAAAATTCCATCCCATCTGGGGTTTGTAAATACGGATAAGTTTTTCTCTCTAAACTTTTCCTTCATTCTTTACACAATACTCTTAAGAAGGAAAGTTACCCTAGGGAAAATTGTTTCTACTTATTAAGCTATTTTGAGTAACTGAGAAAAAAAAGGAAAAAAACATTCGGCATTTATCTTAGCACAGATACGTCTGGACAAAGGCATTTCAGGGGAACTGACATTCTCTAAACTAAAGCATCACGTGTAACCATCCTGATGAAACTTCAGCTATGTTTCAGTTTTCTATATGTATTCATCCATTGTCTCTTGACATGTAGGTATTTAGGTATATGTAGACCACATAATACATATCCAATGGTTACACTAAAATTCTCTCTTAAGTGTCTATATGTTCTATGCTTTATTTATAGTATACACATTTGTTTTAACTGTGAAAGGTAACATTGTAAAAACAGCCATGCTCGCCAGACCACTAAGTGTCTTGCATTTAAATCTGACAGAGTAATAAAAATAATCTACTGTCCCTCCTCACAAAATAAAATTCAACTTCTTTCCACAAAGTAATATATGAGTTTCCATGACAGGCTCAAACTTTCTGGTCATTGTATGTCCTACCAGGGACACTTGAATTAAATTGACTAAACTTTCAAAGCCTACAATTCCAAATTAGAAAAAGACTCTTGCTGGCTGGACAAGTTTTCAAAAGTTCAGTGCAATGTTATCTAACGTGTCTGAATGGCTCTTCTCTTCTCTGGTCTTTTCTTTACATCAGCCCCAGTGCAATGAACCTGCTGAGACCACCTGACCCCCAGGACGGGGGTGTTCAACCTATCAGACCTCAGCTTCTTTTCCTTACTCTCTGTTTTCTGGTTTTCCTCTTCCAACTACTGCTGCTTAGGCAGTCAGGTTTCAGACCCTCATCTTTTTCACAGGGAAGTCTGGAACGATAAAGTTTGGTGTAGGCCTGAAATCAAAATTATATTAATGAGCTCTCTTCTACCTAAGAATCCTCAACTGTCTTTGGAAAGAAAAGGCACAGTATTATCTAGAAAAAAAAAGAGAGAGAGAGATAGTAGAAAAAACTAGATAATCTATCCAGAGACCAGCATTGACCACATGTAATAAAGCACTATAAGCAAGGAGAAATGGGTTTTGTTACACTAAAATTGAATTGTGTTATAATATTTGATTGAATAAGTAAGAGTGGTAGAATTAGTGTTGTCTGTTTAAGTTTTTATAGGGTATAGCATTACTTTTTCACACCATCAGATTAAGAATGGGACCATACACAGGGGTGATCTGAAAGCCGAAGGACCTGGGATCAAGGTGAAGAAGGAACACATTTACTCAAGTTTAGTGCTCAGTAATGAGACAAAATCTGTCCAGACAAGCCAAGTATGTCATCATGTCAGGCCCCAGTGGTACCTGATACAGTTAGTAGCATTAGGGGGACAAGTAGGCGTGATCGTGTAAATTAGACACTCAGCTAGGGGCACCAGCAGGAGTTGAAACATAACCAGGGCTCCGTTAGCCATGCCCTGTTCCTTACATTCTGCCTAAGGAAAGGATGTTCTGTTCTTCTAATTCTCCAAGGCAAACAGGGCCCCCTTTGTAATTTATCTACCTGGAAGGTGCCTTTCTCCAAAGCTCCAGAGGTGCTGCATGTGTGGCTAGCCCTCCTGGGGAGGTGACGGGAGGACCAGAGCCAAGCAATGTGGAGCTGAAGCCCAGGCCAAGGCAGGTGGTCAGGACATCGGGGGTGCTGGAGGAGCCAGATCCCATAGATTCCCTGGGGGCCGTTTGTGGAGACCTTGAACCCTAGTTAGATTGTCAAGGCAGGTAGCAGCACATAAGCATATTGAGAAGTGGAGCCCCAGTCGAGGGAAGCACAAACTCAGCTTACAGAGCTGAGGATGAGGTCAGAGAAGCTGATTTTGTGCCCTGGCTGGTGTAGCTCAGTGGATTGAGCGTGGGCCTGCAAGCCAAAGGCTGCCAGTTTCATTCTCAGTCAGGGCACATGCCTGGGTTACAGGCCAGGTCCCCAGTAGGGGGCATGCCAGAAGCAACCACACATTGATGTTTCTCTCCCTCTCTTTCTCTCTCCCTTACCCTCTCTCTAAAAATAAATAAATAAATCCCCCCCCAAAAAAGACTCCTGCAATGCTCTAAGTCCACCCTCAGGATTAGGCCTGGAGTCCAAGGCAGGGCTCAGCCTCCAGAGTGGGTTAAGTGAGAGTAGCTGGAATGGGATGGGGGAGAGAAAGCCACATGGTCATTATAATCATAATAATTTATAAATATAATTTTTCTTCTTGCTTTGGGGACTACATTTGAGGCTTAAGAGAAAACTTATAGTCTCTCATTCAGTAAATGTAATTACATGGAAAGAGAAGGATTAAAAATGCCCAGCAAAGATCCCTGAACTCACAGGAAGTTAAAAGCATTCTGTTAGCTCGTACCAAAGTTCAAGCACTGAACTTAACAGTGGACCAAATTGTCCCAGTTTGCCCAGGACTTTCTCATATACAGCAAATGAAAGTTTCATGTTTCCCGGCCCTTCTGGTTTCAGGTAAACAGATTGTGGGTCACCCTCCACGTGAGGGACTCACGAGTGATTACATGTCCTTCTCTTATTACTACATCCACCCCACAAAGCAGGGAGGGAGCAGCCAGGGGCTCACAGAAGTAGCACGGGACCTTGAGACCTCCACTCAGTTACCAGCCAAGCGCCCACGGGGAAAACCCTCCAGAGCAAGACCAAAGAAGAAGGGGGGAAGTAGACCTGGTTATAACAGGAAATAGCAGAATAAAGACTACAAACCTTTAATGCAATTTTTAGTCAATATTTTAGCATAGTAATTCTACTTTCTAATCTGGACACGACTTTTTCTTTATATCAAATTACCAGTAATATGGTTCTTCATATTAAAATAACATTGTGTTCTAGAAGTTTATTTTAAAAATCCCTCTTGCTTTTTCATTCTTTAGAAGTTTAGGAAGTCTAAAATATACCAGTGGAGCTCAGTTTCAGGGTGCCCCTATTCAGTGTCCTGAAAATTAGACACTATGCCAGCTTACACTATGTCGCGATATCACTATACCGCAAAAACTCTGTCCACCACCTATCACATTTACGATGATCCTGGGGGTCTGAATACACACTTGGCATTCTCTTCATTAATCACCATTCCTCCTCATCACTCAGGGGTGATGTGCATGCCATAGTAACCTTTCAACAAGTCTACTTTCTTGCATAATGATATAATCTTCTGAAGAATTGTTCTTAAATATTAAGTGAATCCTGCTCAGGTGACCTTTAAACCCCTTTCCATCAACATCCCAATTATTTAAAATTGCATATTACAAGCACGGTGTCTGACGTTTTTCATGGCACTCTGGCCTCTATGATCACATCTCTCCCCTGCCTCCACTCATTCTTGCTGCCAACAGTCTGCCCTGAAGCATCAGCGTTGGTTGTTGAAGGGCTTTGTTTTTAAAGGAGAATTCTTTCAGCTGTGAGCAGCTGCCTGCCTTGGAACTCTCTTCCATCTGCAATTTTCTAAACTTCAAGTTGAGTATGCAAAGCCTCAAACAATTCTGCTCATGCCTCTAGTAAACAAATATTTATTGAACTGTTATTATGCACCAGTCATGGTTAAGGTCTAGAAAAGCAGTGGTGGATGAGTGAACTCAAGTCAAGAGGGGCAAACAGAGTCACAAGTATGTATACAAGTAAGTAGGGAATGTCTAGTAGTAAAAAACACTATTAAGAAAAATAAAGCAGAAAGATACATGTGTGCATCCATGTGAGCACATATGTGTTGGGAGGACAGTATTGATTAGGTGGTCTGGAATGGCCTCTCTGAAGAGGTGATATGTAAGCAGAGACCTGAAGTCAGGGGGCCAGCTGTGAAAAGAACATTCTGTAAAAAGTGAAAGCAGGGACAGAGGCCCCAGGTGTTCAGGGAAGAGCAAGAAGCCCTTTGTAAAGAGTTGGATTTTATTCTAACTGTGCTTCAGTCTGGTGAGTTAAAGGGCCTCCCTTATGGCTAAAACATCACTCTGCTGTTGTGTATAGGAATCAGACTGTGGTCAGGGGCAACATTAAATGCAGGCAGATGTTTTAGGATGCAAGTGTAGTAATGGAGGTGAGAGAGGACAGCAGTTTGAGTTAAGATGAGACCAATAGTGGTAGTAAAAAGTGTTTGGACTCAAATATATATACTTTTCTTCACTGATCTATTTTAATGTGGCAAATTATACATAACCTAAAATTGACCATTTTAACCATCTTTAAGTGTACAGTTCAGTAGCATTACACAAATTTCATGATTGTGCAATTACCACTGCTCTCTGTTCTCAGAACTTTTTCATCACAGTATTGGCCATAGGATATATTCTGAAGGTAGAGCTCAGGAGGATTGCCAATGAATTGAGCATTCAGAGTAAGGAATAGACACATCAAGGATGCTGCATGGTCATCCATAGAGATGTCAGTGTATTCTTAAAATAATGATACTGTTGTAGATTAGAGCTTCTAATGAGTATGTTTTTACAGAAAAGAAAAAGAAGCTGAAGACCAGTCTCAGGGGATTTGGAGTAAGGTGCTTCAGAAGGAGGGAAAGGATGAGATTCCATGCAGAAATGAAGAAGGTGGCCTTAAGTAGAACAAGGGCAATTTCATCCTGTGTGGCAGGCGGAAAGGCAAAAATATATGGGTGCTGATGTAGGTAGGATGGAGTATTTCCTGATGGGAAGATCAGA